CAACTAATCAAACAGTGTTTGTTCGTTCAAGCAATTTATAAAGCACGGAAACTGAGAGAAACAAAACGGATGATAGCCAAAACTTCCCATAAGTTACAAAAAAATGACGTGCAGATAAGTGCTATATACACCTTTAGGAATTTTGCTGCGTTTTTATCTAGCGTATTCACACGAAAAAAAAAAAACTTTCAAAAAGCAACCTCGATAAAATACTTGACTTTATTCGAATTTTGTTTAATGTGCTAAATTCAGTAATATGGAATTTTGGCTTAAAAAAACTCAGGAAATTTCCCCTCTGCGGCCTTAACCAATTAAATGAAAGACAAACATGAAAGTTTTGAAAGTAACAAATATACAAATACAGATGAAAGAAGGAACAACTGTCGTATAACAGTGTACATAACAAAGAATAATAGCAAAGTTTTCTACTGAAAAAAACAACAATGAACAAACTATATGGTACTCATAGAAAAAGCCGAAGAAGCATGAAGAAACTAAACCATAAAACTTTAAGCCTAAAATAAATACAGATTCACTTACATTCTGATACCAAATGTACAGTGTATTCTGATCATTATTGTAAACAGGCAGTTCAGCAGGAATTACAAGTAGCTTTCTGAGGATAAAGGAGAGCCTAGAGATTAAAAATCACCGAAGAGATTGGGATGAGTTAAGTGATATTCTCGATAGCAGTTCTTGATTCGGCCGAACACCTGCAGGCAATCAATGTACTGTAGTGTGTTACCGGGATTGCCGAGATGCGTGGTGCAGAATACCATACAACGACCACCGTTGTATGATCCAATACCGTTCCTGATACAGCATTCCGAATGGTCCGCCTGCAATATTTACTAGTATCTAACAGAAATCTCCAAAAAAAAAATTAATAAATAAAAACTCCATTTGTTGCTCCACTAGAAGTTTGACCATCGTCAAGTAGCTGGTAGTGAGATATTAAAGTAAATTTAAAACATCAAAGACCCTCCGCATTTTACCTTCATTAAGAGATGGAAGTAAGAGAGGGTGACCCTCGCCAAAAGCAAACGATTAGCTAAAATGACTATTGCTGGCTCCCTCTTTCAAAATTGACCACAAACAAACTGATGGACACTACAAACAGTACTAATTATCACTAATGCAAATTTAAGACTTTTGAATCGAGGAGTTAATAAATAATCAGAATAATGCGTCAATTCCCTGTTCCAGTATGAGCTCTGAGGGAAAACAAAAGAGTAGCCGCCAACATTTCTGCAAACTTCTCTTTATCAGATTAAGCAGTATTCCCTCGACAAAGAGAAAGGAGGGGGAAGAGGGATGCCGAAACCTGATTTTCATTGTTCTACATAAATTTATTGGAAATAAATCACAGTTCTTTCTTGGACAATGACAAACATGGAACCAGCATGGAGGAGTATAGCCAGTTTCGTTTCTGTACCAATTCATCTAAGCAATAATCAATTCTTTTGCTATGAGTACTGCCCAACTAGTAAAATAGCATCACGAGCAATCACTGGTTCGTTAGCGAGTCGATGGTGCTCCCTTTCGAAATTTCCTTTATGCTAAATGAATGGATGTTATTTTACTGTTAATTTAAAGAAGTTAAAAATCTCGTACCATGGCTGTGGCGCAGTTGAATGCAGTCTCGAGCTCATGCCCAGGACACTGATTCGTTATTACTGCTGTGACAAGCTAAAACAAATGCTTTTTAGTACAAGTAATGCATTTAAAAAAGAAGGATCTGCTAGAAGAAAAGAGTGTTGATTGCAAACGTTTCCCGCACTGAGTCCCGGAGGTTTTGAGAACTTTTACAGAATTTTCTCTGCATATCAGGTTAAGAATCTTGCCAGTTAATAAAAAGTAAAATTGTCCAAACTTTGATCTATTGAAATTTTGGATAAAATTATGTAACTGAACATGAATTATAATGTTAAATTTAGAGATATGTCGGATAAAACTAATGAATATACAAGCTATATATACAAGCATTAATATACAACATTCGTAACCACATGAACGATTACTAAAAAGCAAGGATTCACGTCGCATTACATGGCTTATTTTCGACCAATGGATTAGTCAAATGAGAAAAATAAACTAGTATTTTTTACAAAACTGGAACTTAAAAAATGTTGGAAAGCACAAGAAAGGCATACGGCTACGTAATAATAATAATAGGAGATAAGGGATCAGTCTAAGTATCATATTCAAAAAGATATTTTAAAATGCAGTATGTGTTACATCATTCAGCTGTAAACACAAAAACTGCATTTTTGAGGAGAATGTTGAGCGCGCCAAACCAAAAACGCAGTTCTATTGACCTCGTCACGATAGTTTTTCAATCTATTTGTCGGATGGTAATATGCATTTAGCCACAGGCAAAGCCTGAAGTATCTTTTTGCATGCCACGACTATGTCAGCATAATAACTAATGAGACAAAATCCTTGATGTTCACTGCACTATGGCGTAGCAAGAAGTGAAAGATTATCAACTGCTCCGAAGTCTTGGCCAATATCTTCCACTCAGCCCTGCTGCTTCATATGAGTTTATACCTATACCAGACAGTTTGTAGCAGTACCAGACAACATTTAGTTTACTTATTACTAAAGCTTTAGGTATAGCTATTTATAATAGTCAGTTATTCATTAGTTTTTAGGCACATATTTATGTATTTATCTAATTAGGCATAACAGCTATTTATGATAGCTATTTAGGTAATATAATAACTATTTGCACTCAAAGGACTTAGTTTATACAAGAAAATATACATGCAGAGGTATACATGATGCAGAGGCATGCAATAAAAAAAACGATAGCTACCCACAGTAACTGTAGCTGAAGAAGCCAAGGAAAAAACGCACCGATCGGTCCGTGAATGTGTCGTAGTTGCACAGCGTTTGACAAGATGGTGAAAGACCTCGTTTCTGACAACAAGTAGCAAGTTTCTCGT